GATCTTGGGCTAGGGTTGGTACCTTTAGCTTGGAGATGGTACCGAGCTAACTAACAGTCTGTTCTACGCCGGAAGTCTTTGGGGGATCTGCGGAGCTTCTTCGATGCTTGTACCATAGGGCAGGCGAGTGCATTCCTAATTTCTCTTGGTTGTGTGAAAAATAAAAAAGATTTATTAACATATTTGCTTCTCTTACATAGGTTGAAGTAGGGGCGATGGGCAGGCGATGGGCATCCGACTCCAACATTGGATTGAGGCGGATCCCCATTTCAGGCGATCAGAGGCTCTGTCTCGGCGGCGGTTTGTCTTATCCCATCCTATTCTGAGACGTTACTACCTGGGTGAGCGAGTGGACTTCCAGGTTAGGGGCTGCGGCTCCGTTCCTCTTCCTCCCCCAAAGGACATGCGAGCGGGCAAACAGATGGTTCTTACAGATGTCCATACTGAGGGTATCCCGCACATGGAATTGATCCGGGGTGGAGATTATGACGAATTCTGCCAGGTGTTTCTGATGCGGCCCATCGTTTCTGATGCGGCCCATCGGCTCCAGGTTTGACAGTCTCCCGAGGTCGACTCCTTCCCATCCGCTTGGCACCCGTTCCTCTCGGGCTTCAGGTTCTTCGGCCAGGACTCCAAGGAGGAGGCCTGTGACCCTGCCTTCTTCTTTTACTCCGGTGGAGGGTCCGTCTCGAGCTGGCCCTAGTCATTCGGTCGGTGCCTTCAGGATTCCCCAGGCCATTTCAAAGGCTACCAGGCCTGTCCACCCGGGCTTGGCCAATTTGCACCTTCCATACAGCATTTCCTATTACACTCCTGAGGGTACTTCGTCTCTTAGGGAAGTATCCTTGGACCGTGTGAATTGCCTGGCTCTTCCTCCTGATGACATCAATGAGGTAATGACTGGTAAATTTCTCATAAAAAGGATTCATAAGAGATTTGTATATTGACTTTGTATTTTTTTGTGATTCCCAGGTTCCTGACGGCTTGATCCGTCAGATGATGGAGCTAATCCTTGGAATGCAGGAGGAACTAACTTCAGCTTGGACATTGCAGGCTTTTGACGACCAGAGGAGGAGGAGGTCTCGCCGCTGATAGCTGCTAGATTTCTTTGCTTTCCTTTACTTTCTTTCCCTCTTTATTTCTCTTTTTTTTTTTTTTACTGTATTGAAACTTTGGCCTGTTATTTCTGTACTCAACTTATTTGTACCTTGTATTTGGAATACTGACAGTATGCATGCATTAAGATTTGAGCAGAAAGCCAAATTGTGATTTCTTGGGCCTTAGGCCAAATCGTGATTTTTGGGCCTTAGGCCAAATTGTGATTTTTGGGCCTTAGGCCAAATTGTGATTTTTTTTATTTTTTATTTTATTTTTTTTTCTCTTTTTTTTTTTTTACTTATTATTATTTATTTTATTTATTATTATATTTATTATTATTATTTTTTAAAAAAAACAGGAAAGATAAATAAATAAGAAACATGAATCCCATTTACAATCATAGCATGCATAGCTGGACCAGGAGTCTCTCCAAAGTAAGTTGAAAAGATCAATTTGGGGAGGTACGAAATTTCTCCTGTTATCACTCTTAGGGGCGTAGTAGTTGACTGGGACTTTTTGCGAGCCTGTATTAGCTTTGGGATCCTGAGGCTCACGTTTTTCGATTTGGGGATATGATGGAGGAAATGTGCCCTCTTTTTGAGGAATTTTTGCGATTATAGGGTGTGATCCCAATGCTCCCTTGGTTAGGCACGAGGTGAAAGTTGGGTATGTTAAGTCTTTTGAGAACTTGTTTCGGTTTAGCCGGCCATAGGCGCCACAGGCTACTAGGGCTATGATTGTAGATGATCAGAAGGCGATTCTGCTGCCCCTGATTGATGAATTCTCAGAGACTTGCTTGGAAGATCCCGACCGGATGAGATTGAGGATGTGGGCCTTGGTTTTTTGCTTATTGGCTGGTTTCTTATTCATTCTTATTCAACCGGGACCCGGGTTTTGGAGACTTGCGGCTTTGCCCTATGGTTTGGCAAATGGAGGACATGGGTTGCATTGGTGGCATTGTGCTGGCTGAGACCATTAGAAGTCTTGACAGAGCCGCTTTGGGGTTCGACGATTGGACCGTCTCTCCCCTTGTCTTGCAGGTATTTCCCCTATCATCTTTCCTCATTCTTTTCTTCCTCTTTTTTTTGTTATAACGGAAAAGATCCATTATTCAGGTTTGGTTGAAGGATCACCTTCAAGTAGTGGCTGCTCCGACCTCCCTTCCCTACAATCCTTCTCAGTATCGCATGCGGAAAATCTTGCTCTCCCACCATTCTACTGAAGCATGGACTTCGTGGCTAGTTGAATTGGGTCCAAATGAGATACTGTGGTTCGTTCCTTGGTACAATATCAACCGCTTTATTCAGGTCAGCTTTCGCCATTCTCGGGTTTATCTTCTAGGCCTCACACACTGTACTTGGTACTGCGCTTCTCGCGCCGTCTGAGGCAGAATGGGGATAGATCAAAACTGTCCCTATTATGGATGACCATTTCAAGCTGAGTTTCTGCGATTACTGCGGGTGTTACCGCAGCTGTTCTTAAAGCTTGGTTAGGAGATCACCTGAGGTTAGACCTTTACCTGATCTACCAGCGTTCAGACTCTCCGATACCGGCCTGCGTTTCATTACCTGGTTCATTACCGCTGTCTGGCCGATTGAAAGACCAAGGAGGACTGGCTGAGTGTTCTCGAAGGTTGGGTTCAGGCCGATGCTGAAGAGGAGGTTGGGACAGGTGAGGAGATTGTGCTGGCTCCTCGGACAGGCAAGGCTGGGCAAGGTTCGGTAGAAGACTCAGAGGATGCCGCTCCACGGAGGCGGCGAGATACCTAGACTTCTATAGACTTATGATTTTTTCTTGTTTTGACTTTTGTTTGGGACTTTGGATTTATTTCTGGATGTATGCTTTATACTTTCCTTTGTTTTACACTCATAGTTACTTCGGCCCTTCTTGTTTGATTCTGGATTATTTGACTCTGTCGTTTGGCTTTTAAATTTTCCAATTGCCAACTTTTATTTATTTGGCTCTAATTTTTGCCTAAGGGTTTTCAGCTTAGCGGGCCCCGACTTTTGCCTCAGCCGCCCTTTCGGGTTTTCGACTTAGCGGGTCTTCCTTTCTTTTTTTTTCTTTTTCTTCTCTTTTTTTTTATTATCGGCAAAGAAGAAAGAATTATGAAATGCTTTTTTTTTATTAATGTTTAGACCGCGCCCAAAGAGCACTGCCTACATATCTCCGATATATAATTTCTTTTTTCCAAAGAGAATCAGGTCTAATGTAGTTCGTTTTACATTATGCCATGATTGCAATTACACAAAATATCTTTTTAGCTGATCTAAATTACATGGATTAGTGAATTCCAAGCCATCCAAATCAGTCAAAATAACGGCTCGGCTCCGCCTGACAAGATCTTCTTCAACACATAGGGTCCAGCCCAATTGAGGACGGAACTTCCCCCGTGGAATGACTGGTTGTCTAATTTCCTTCAGAACCAAACAACCTTTCTTTCCAGTTTTCCGGTCTTTGACCTTCTTGTTAAAAATGTCTTGCCATCTTCTTTGATAGACTTGAGTTTGGTGGAAATTAGCTCGCAATTCATTTTTTCATCCATACCCAAAAGTTGCAAAATGATAAATCTCAGCCCAAATCTTGCTTCGTTTATCTAGGCTTTCCCGGATAAGTCCTTGCTGACTGAAAACTTTCCAGCTCAATAGGCAACACTGCTTCCATTCCATACACTGTAGGGGAGTACGGGGTTGCCCCCCAGTAGGCGTTCTGATTGAAGTTCCTGTATCCCCATAGGGGCGGTTCGCGGTAACTGTTGCGTTGCAAAGCTTATGCCTCTGAATTCGGTCTTTTTGCAAAAAGTGACTTTTATAAGCTTGTTCGCCGGCTTCGACGCCCCACTTTGTTTGTGGGCGATAGGGTGAGGACTTATGGTGCTGGAATTGTAGCAAATTCATTGTAGCACAGTCAAATTTACTGTAGCAAAGTCAACCAACAGGCTTTTTGAGCCTCAAAATTTGAGTATTCACAATACCGACAAAGGATGCTGGTACGTACAAACTGTGTTGCCTTCTTGGCGTTTACATTCAAGACCGAATAGGAGGTTGCCTCAATCCACTTAGTGAAATAATCAACAGCGACCCGGATAAATTGATGACCATTGGAAGCCTTCGGGTGGATCTTTTCGATCACATCTATGCCCAAGTTGCGAAGGGCCAAGGTGAAGCAATGGGATTCAAATTGACCGGAGGATTCAAATTGACCGGAGGCTGTCTTTGCAGCTTAGCGAAAATTTGACACTCATGGCACTTCTGCGTGTGCCTCACACAATCTGCATTCATGGTTGTCCAGTAATAACCTAGGTTCATGATTTTCCGAGCCAAGGCTACCCCGTGCATGTGTGGACCGGACTCCCCATTATATAAGGAATCCATGATGGTTTGAGCTTCTCCCTCATCGACGCACCTTAGGTGTAGGCCATTCCAACTTCTCTTATACAGAACTCCCCCGGTAAGGAAATATCCGGATGCTAACTGTCTCAATGTCCGTTGATCAGTCATCCCCTCCGGGTAGGCTTCGTTCAAGGTTAATTCTGATATCCCAAAACCAAGGCTTGTCATCCACCAAAACATGCATTGACGTGTGCTGGGGCCTGCTTCTGAAGCCTAACTGTCAGGGCCGAATGGACTTGGCCTTTCCCCACAATTAACCATGGAGGCCAAGGTGGCTAGGGCATCAAGCCGAATCTGATTTTTGCTCGCCGGCAGGTAGTAGAAAGATAATTCCTCAAACTGCTTGAGCCAATTCGTCTAAGCGTTGTAGGTAAGGGACCAAACGCCCTCTTCCTTGATTTCCACTTCCTTAGAGCCTGGGAGGACTATTCAGTTGGAATCTTCCGAAAACCCTTGAGGACTAAACCCTAAGGACTTTTATCTCTTTTTCCAGGGCTGCTTCTAACCCCTTTATCCCTTGATACAGGCTTCGTATTCGGCCTCATTATTGGTACAGTCAAAGTCTAGTTTAACTGCAATTGGGACGTATTCTCCACAAGGAGTTTTGAATACAACTCCAATCCCATTTCCATGGTAATTCGAGGCTCCATCGAAGTACATCTCCCAGACCTGATTTTCCAGGTGCAACAGGTTTTCGTCGGGGAATTCTACCTTCGGCATTTGATCTTCGACCGGTAATTCGGCTAACTGGTCAGCCAAAGCTCCGCCTTTTACTGCCTTACGTTGTACAAATTTCAGGTCATAGGCTGCGAGCACTGACACCCACTTAGCCATCTTACAGTCTAGAACCGGCCTCTCCATAAGGAATTTCAAGGGGTTCGAAACATAGGTGGTGTAGGACGAGAGATAGTGCTGCAGCTTTGGTAGTGTTGCAGCTTTGGTACAGGGCCCAGAAGACGAGAGGTAGTGTTGCAGCTTGGTACAGGCCCAGACTAGAGCCAGGCACAACTTTTCTATCTTGTTGTATTTCAACTCATATTCCAGCATCCTCTTACTGAGGTAATACACGGCGTTTTCTATCCTTGTATCTTCTGCTTGTTGAGCTAATATGGCCCCCATTGCTTCTTCTGTTACCGACAAGTACAGTAGCAAAGGCTTTCCTAGCCTTGGTGGTTGTAAGACTGGCGGGGATAGCAGGTATTGTTTGACTTGGTCAAAGGCCGCCTGACAATCCTCATTCCATTTGACTGCCACTCCTTTCCTAAGTAGCTTGAAAATTGGGCCACAGGTATCGGCCAACTGATTGATGAAACGACTAATGTACTGTAACCTTCCCAAGAAGCCTCGGATCGGACTTCTTTTTCGGTCCTTGGTGCTGGCATTTCCAGAATAGCTCTAGCTTTCGAAGGATCAATCTCTATGCCCTTCCGACTAACCATGTGCCCCAGAAATACTCCGGATGTGGCTCCAAACAGACATTTTGCCAGGTTGAGCTTCAAATTATACTTTCGAAGTCTAAGGAAGAACTTCTCAAGTGCAGTCGTATGTTCTTCGGTTGTTTTCGACTTAACCACCATATCATGCACATACACTTCCACCTCTCCGTGAATAATGTCGTGAAAGATGGTTGTTGCCATTCTTTGATAGGTTGCCCCGGCATTTTTGAGCCCGAAGGGCATGAACCTATAGCAGTAGGTTCCCCATTCTGTGATCATTCCGTGGTGAATGCCGTTTTCTCTTTATCTGGCTCATGCATCATTATCTGATTGTACCCGACAGCAAGATCGGTCAAGGAGACCATCTCGTGTCCAGCCATTCGGTCTACCAGCAAGTCGATATGTGGCAGGGGGAAATCGTCCTTCGGACATGCCTTATTCAAATCCCGGTAATCCACACACATTCTAACTTTACCATCTTTCTTCGGCACCGGCACTATATTTGCTAACCATGTCGGGTAGGCAATGGGTTCTATGAACTTGTTTTCCAGCTGCTTGGCAACTTCCTCCTTGATTTTCAAGGACCATTCTATTTTTCAAGGACCATTCTGTCTTTAGCCTTCTAAGCTTCTGTTTCTGGTTAGCCTCAGGGTATACTGGAATCTATGCACCACTATTGCCTTGGTTCGATGTCCCGTGATGTCACTTGCCTTCCAGCATTGAAGCAATCAAGCAGAATTTCTTCAAAAACATTCACTGACCTGTTCCTGTTCAATGCAATTGAAGTCAATGTATGTATATTCATTTCTTCCTTGCCATTACTATCTTTTTCTTTTCAGTTTTTTATGTCATTTATTGATTGGTTTTTTGGGCTTGGAAATGGGCCTTTGAAGAGATGACACGCAGGGTATCAGAATTTTGCAAGCCTTTATTTAATTATGACGGAACGTCGTCTTCAAAAGTTTACATCAAGTTTGAAATTCTGGATCTTCCTAGATCTCGACAAGAATCTGGAACTGGAACCTCGTGACTCGGTTCAGACTCTGGGGTCAGCACTCGGACTCAGTAGCACGGACTTTATTACAGACTTCTGGTACTTAGGCTTTTGACTCGGGAGGGGTTTTGTCAGCAGTGCGCTCCTCCTCGGTGTACCAGTTGTCAAGAGGTCCTTTGCTCGGCTTGATTAGGCTGCACAAGTCTTGATTCCCATCATTTCCTGTAATGACTGCAACCTCATCAAAGAGATTAGGCTGCATGAATTCTTCTGTCTCCAGCTCGGTTACTACCTCGGGCTTGTTGCCCCAAACATCCGAGAATATTTCTATTCCAGGCAGCATCTTCTTAATAGTTGGGCAGCAAAAGGGCTCCCGGAAGCCACAGTAAGAAACTGCTTCTCCAGGTTTGCAGAAGTAGCTGTTCAGAGTCAATAGGTAAGGCCGCATATGTGCCGCATATGTATACTTTTCTTCTCTTCTCTTCGGTTTTCTCAGGCACACTGCTTCGTTTATGTGGGCTCATAACTCCAGTCCGAAGGTTTTCCCCTCATTCACTGGACACTCCCAGGCTTGCATTTTGGGTATGTTTTCCCGGATCTGGCCATAACCATTCTGGCAGCTAGGACATCTTAAGCATTAGGGCATAGCTATCAGCAGTTTATTTTTGCACCGTCCTCCGAAATCAAAGAGAAATTCTGGAGTTTTTGCGAGTTCTTTTCCTTCTATGAACTACAACAGTATCATATTGAAATTCCCGAGAGGGGTAGGTTGGGCGGTCTCAGGGTGACCTCAAAGAGATGCTGGCCCTTTTTGGCTTTTTGAGCTGGCTGTGTCATCCCCTCTGAATGGTGATAACTTTGTCCTCAATTGGAACTTGACCTTTGTTGGTGCACAGGACGAGGGTATTTGCTTAGTGTTGGTGTATCCATTGGCCGGCCCAGGAATAGGTTGAAGCTGGTCGGGCACATCAATTACCTGGAAGGGGACTTCCTCACAGCCGCCCCAACTGTTAGCTTTCAGCGTGGCAACCCCCATACTCCATCCTCCGGGTGCTGTATAGCCTTCACTATCTGGTCCGAGGGAGTGAAGTCAGTTTCCTCAAAGTCTGTTTCTTCCAACCCTAGACAGCTGGCTACCCTTAGGGGGCAGACATTCAGTGCTGACCCATTATCTATGAGAACCATGGGCACCGTTTTCTCTCTAGTCTGTACAGTGACATAAAGGGCATGGTTATGACTGCCTCCCTCCTTAGGCAAATCATCATCAGAGAACCCGATGCTTTGCATCTTTGATGATTGGGTGAGGGTGGACACTAGCACTTCTGGGCTAACCTCCACAGATGTTTGAAGTTGACTCAAAGCCTTGCAAAGAGCTTGAGGAAAGGATGATGCCAAAAGTTCCCAGATTGACACCCTAGCTTGTGTCTTTTTTAATTGTGACAGCACCGGGTCCTCCTTTGGCTCCTCTGCACTCTGGTAGGGTTTATTTTGAATTTTGTCCAAAACTGACGGTTCATATTGTCTCCCGCTCCTAGTAATGGCATCGACCTCTTCGCTCAGGTCATTCAAATCCAAGACACAGATGTTATTCATTTCCAAAAATAACTCGAAAGGATCGATTAACTTCTGGTCAGAACCAATAGCATTTACCCCGTGATTTGGTAAGGGATTAGTGCTAATGCTTGGCTTACTTCTTGGGATGATTGACCCATTGTCTACCAGGTCTTGTATGCGGTTCTTGAATGCGGTTCTTTGAGCGTCCAACATGCTTCAGTCTTGTGCCCCGTATCCCTGATGATTACTCGGCAGTATTCATCCGCCTTATAGTTTCTCGGGTAGTGGATTGGAAGGTGGTCTGCTTCTAAAGGCTTGATTAGTTGGCCTTGACATGCTCTCGGAAAATCCAAAAGGATTGGCATTCCAAGGTCAGTTGTTGGTCTTCTCGATTGATTCCATTCCTCAATTCCCCACTCTAAGGGTTGGTGGAGTGATGCTGCCACTTCGTGGACCTTGCCTGGCTGGCCTTAGGTTCTTGTACGTTAGAGGTCCCCTGAGTCGTCTTTCAGTTGCCCCATTTGGATCAGATCACTCTACCTTTGTGGCAGTGGCATGAGCGACTGAAAAGTTGGAGGTACTGGGTTTGTAAATCGTTGTTTGGTAGACAGGTGCAAGTTCTCCTTTATTTATTCATGTCACCTGCTCTTGTTCAGAAGGCCGGTTAATCATTTTGGGTGCGGCTTTGGCCCTCACTTTCGTAAGGAACGAGGAAAAGGTTCATTTATTTTCTGCTTGGTGTCTCTAACTCTCTTCGAGTAACAATCCACCTCCATAATTGTAGTGGACTTGTGAATTGAACTGCATTACAGATATCCCCAGGTCTTCCATCTTAAGACCGATCCAAGGGTAACAAACCTATCTTATGCAGCAGCCAGTAAGAGATTGTTGGAACAACTGAGCAAGGACTCACTGTCTCAATCCGAAGTGGTTTTAAGGCACCCACATACATTTGCAAATGTGTTTTTAGGACCAAGTAGTTCCCATTCAAACTTGTGCCATGTTGGGCATCTTGAACTTAGTTGGTCAAACCTGGCTTTCCAGGGAACAAGGACAAGGAAGTCCCATGTTCCTAACAACTTCCTGTGGGTTTTGAGGGAGCAGTGAATGGACTCTCTAGGAGCTGTCTATGTTTCTCTCTCATTCCTCTGACTTTCCCAGCTCAAGAGCAGTTTTTTAGAAGGCATCTCATACCCAGGTTTTAGGGCAGGGTTTGGTAGGTTCAGCAGCAGGACCCTGGTTGGAGGCAGTAGTCCACTTCCCCCAGCAGCCCCCATTTCCAATTACCATTCCCATTTACCGCGCGTGCTATCAAAGGGCGGTCCTTTGGGCAGCTAGTGCCCTCATTCATTCTGGCCTATCTGGCCTCCATTCTAGCCTCTAGTTGTTCAATTCAGCAAGTGATGCCATTGGTGCAGATAAGGTTGTTGGAGTTGTAGGCGAAGCTGGCGTAGCTGGTGAAGCTGGTGAAGCTGGTGATAGCACTGTAGGTGTGTCTGGCACTTGGGTAGGCACTCGGATTGTGGGCACCTATAAGGGTAAGGGTAGCTGGATTAGGTACAGTGGTCGGTGTATCAGGTAGCTGATGTGAGGTGAATTGACTCTCTTGTCTAACTGTGCATGACTGAAAGTAAAAGGGTGTTTTTCTGCTCCCTTTGTGTTTATCCCATGCCTATGATATGTCGTGAATGCGCATAACAACACGCCTGCCATAAACCATTTAAGAATATGATTCACAATCATTGGGTGCATACAGTCCTAAAGGGTAGTTCTATAGGCTATGACTCAAATAGAAAGAACGCGTTTATAAGGTGACCCTTGAACCTTGGGGGAAGGGTTAGATATCCTAACCACACATGTGGAACAAAGAGTTTCGCGTGGGTCCAACGGTGCGATACTCATGGGCCACCCAAAGATTGGGGTGGTTTGCGGCAACAGGGAGGATGCCTTGGCTGTCCAGTCGACCATAATCAAGAGACCTGCCGATCCAGCGATACTTGCTTATCCCAGACCAGAATTTGAACCAGAGAGAGAAGAAATTCATTTGAAAATTCGTTTTTTATGCAATGGAGCAAAAAGATTCTCAATCGTGCAAATAGATCAACAAATTTAAATGTCTTAATCAAATTTGTCAC